ATTTTTCCCATAGGTGATATTTGCTTGGGATATGCTAGATGGAACCGAACAAAACGTTTCGTTATCATACTTCGGACCACTTTTTCGACTTGTTTAATAATATATGACGCCTTTTAAGCCTTTTCTGGCTCCATGAAAGTTTCCTTGAGTCAGCATCAGATTTGATCGAGATATAAGGATTTTAATTTTTGTTAGTAACAGGAGAAAAACCCGCTTTTCATAAACATGCCTCAGGCGAAGTTATTTTCATGACTACACATATATGATGACCTAAACTAGTCACAAAATAAGAGAGAATTCGCGCTGGATCGGAACGTAAGCTACTATCCGTTTCAAAAGACAAGGCAGGCGGTTACTTTTACAGTCACTTTTGATAGAAGATAGAGACCTGCGGTTTTCACTACTCGATAGCGTCTGTGGAAAACCAGTTTAGATCTCTAGGAACTGACATCCAAATCCATAGTCCAAAGTATCCTCTGCAAACTGGGAACTAAGAGTTTTCTTAGTTTTTTTCGGTTCAAGCGTGGTATCGGATTTGCTGAGAGTCGCAGAATCAATATTTCTTTAGGTGTGGCCTAAAATAAATTGAAACATGGTAATCGACCACGTTGAATCTTGTGGCAACATTTGCTTTTCAAAACACTAGCAAAAACCTATACTAGGTGGAATAACCCATTTTTGCCTATATTTGAGTAAAATTAAAGAATTTATAATCTAGCCAAGATTCATCCAAATTACGTCAGAATATCAAGATGTACTCGATTTTACCTGGTCTATATGTTTTTCTACTTAAGTATAGTAAGAAGCGTTGCTGTACTTCGGAAGATTTCTAGAAAACTCTCTCAAAGACCAAAGTATTTTCTATTGGCTTTTTTAGCTGTTATTGAGCTGCATTATATATAGCAGGTAAAATAGAGTACATCTTGATATGTACGCTTGAACCGGAAAAAAACTAAGAGTTTTCTTAGTTCCCAGTTTGCAGAGGATACTTTGGACTATGGATTTGGATATCAGTTCCTAGCGATCTAAACTGGTTTTCCATAGATCTAACAGAAATAACAGAGAATTCGCAAGCAAACCATATACATCATTACGCATTATGATCATCCATTGCATACCGAAATGAATTCCCAGCGAGCGAATGCGAATTCATTTTTTAGAAAATCAAAATCTCGACTGATGTGTATTTTCCAAGCTATGAGCATTTGATTAACTTTTCCTTAGCATCTTATTAATAAACAAATATTTCGTCTTTTGTTCATATTATTTCGACCAGGTAAAAGTACGTTAAACATTTTACGCATGGATTTCGTTATACTTGATGATTTCATTTTCTGCAAATTGTATATTTTGAGCATTATTAGCTCCATTCGATTGCTTAGCAGTAGGAATGTATACCTTCTTATGGTATCTGTAAATATTACGTCCATTTTCTTCTGACTCATTAGTATCATCGGCATTTTTTCGTTTGTTCAGTGGGATGGTATGTGTATCTGGTCGACTCTGCTGCAAGTATACAGCTGGCTGTTGGAATGGGGTTGAAGAGGCTAATGGAATGGCAGCAGGAACGTGTAAGGTATCCACTGAAGATAACAGCATTTGCTGAGGATCAGGATCATCGTGTTTCATATCAAAGTTCGCAAGTTCTTGTTGATCGATATCGTCCGGACGAAGGGCTGCAGTAGTATCCGAAGGATCAGGAGGAGTGGATGTTGAGTTTGACATGGTATAGTAAAAAATATCCTTGCAGTTGGGAAGATTGCTAGAAAAGTCCTTCAAAAACCATAGTATTTTCTGTTTGTTTGTATAGCTTTATCGAACTCCACAGAATGGAGCAGGTAAAATAGAGTACATCTTGATAGTCTCACATAATTTGGATGGGTTTTAGCTGAGTTATGAATTTTTTTAATTTTACTCCAATATAGGCAAAAATGGGTTATTTCACCTGATAAATGTTGCCACGAGATTCAGCGTGGTTGACTACCTATGTTTTCGTTCGTTTTCGGAATTACCACACCTAATATTGACCCTGGGGCTCTCAGGAACTCCGATGCCACACCTGAACCAGGACAAATTATGAGTCAGCTTTGTTGGCATGTTGCAGAGGATACTCTGGACTATATACCTACGAAAAAAAAACTGATAGATAGCTATCTCAATATTCGGAGATCCAAACTGATTTTCTAACGATCTCCTAGAAAACCGATCTTTCAGGTATTTTTCGAAAAGAATTTTGCTTAGGAAAACATAGGCAAAACAAACCCCAGATTTCCATCTTTGTTAGTTATTCGAAAAACGCTAGTTAGCGTGTCTCGTATGCCAAGAGGTAATAATCGCCTGGTTTTTGCTCAAAAACCAAGAGTTATCCGAGAAAATGGATCGCATATTTGACATTCCCGTAAAAATCTGCATCAAATGATGTATACTGCTCTCTTGAAACCGCTCCATAGAAAACTGACTCGATTTGTTATGAAATGAATAATATGAATACGTAGAAATATGTCTAACTTGACGAACTAATATCTCAGGAAGTTTGCAGATACACAACGCTGCATTACTTCTACAATTTAAGTATAACATTTTCTAATCTTATGCACATCATCTTTAATCTGCTTATATATCTAAGGTTCCTTGTCAAATAAAATACATTAATATAGTCTGTTTTAATCGTAATAGGTATTTGAACGTCAAAGTCTTTTCAAAATCCTTCACATTTAACTTCGATTTTCAACTGATACCGAACGGTAATGTTAAGAGGACGCCGAATATCACCGTTAAGTTGGAAGGATAGTGCTAAATACAGACAATCTTTGTGGCCTGTTTTTGGATGTTCCACCATTTCATAAGCCGGTATCTGAATCGAAAATGTATCATTTATTATTTCATTATTCCTGTTCATGGATACTGGCTAAATAATTTGGACTACGCAATTTGTTCGATCGTTTTTTGGATTCGATAGAACTCAATGAGCGACACGGCAATTTGTTTGATCAAGATCCGCTTTTGATTTATAATTTCAAATGAAGACGCAATCGTCTCCAGAGGAATATAGTTCTGTTTTGGTATTGTGCCTTTCAGTTAGATCTGTTTTCGATCTTGATTTCCATAAATTGTTGGCACACAAGGAATCACTGTGATGTAGAATAATTCTTTTTTTCTCCACTTTATACCACTTCTTGTTGTTTAAACTGATGGGTACTGAATATCAAACATGAGGGTAAATTACTGGTTGTCCGACCGATGGCGGCAGATAATGAGCTAAAGGGAGCTGGAATGGATAAATAAAAATTGGCCATTTTCGTCTTGCTGTACACTATTTGTATAGATGACACTGTACACATAGAATGTACAATATTTTGTATGATGTTGAGTATTTCCCTCACCGTCTGTTGTGGTTGATGTAATTGTGTAATCAATTTCACCAAATAATTCTACATCTTCGGCCTTATTTTATTCTCACCTGCATTAGCGAAACTCACATAAACGGTACCAGATACAACCTTACCGCACCAATAAAACAACTGTGGAGGATCAAATTTATACGTTATATATAGAGATATTTCGCTCAAACTTATGCTTCTTGTTAAAGTAACGCTCATTTGTATTTAAAAGCATTGCTCGTCAATATTCTTCTTGTAAATAACACATGTTTATTCTATGAATCACACTCACAAATGGTCGAGTTAACATAATCAAGCTAAAGAAACATATTATCAATAAAAGTATTACATTGTCGTTGAAACAGAAAATTCATTATCCAAGAGATCAATTAAAGACCGAAAACGTGTCTGTCTCGACAAACGCGTTGTTTAAAACATAAAAAGATTGCTGCGTTTTAATTACAGATGTTCACAGAGTTTTTCCAAAGCACCTTAAATCCGAAAAATGATTGTAATTCAACTTCAGTTATTCAAGCTTTGAGCTTCTCTTTATGTTTTCGGCTATGGAGAATTTAACCAGCATTTTTTAACACATATGTATAATTAATTATAAGAAAATTA